AGGTGATGGCCCAGGTCCTCACAGAGCTTGGAGAGGAAGGCACGGTGAAAGGAAGCAGAGGGAAATCCACCCATCCACAAAGACTGGAAAGCCCCCGCTGGCACTCCCATGCCCTTGCCCCCGGCTTATCCCTAGGCAGGCCCTGCCATGCTCACCTCCCTGCTACGCCACTGTGGGAGAGTTTCATAACTTTCATGCCCCCAAGCCAAGTCTAGATTTGTGCCCCACCCCCCCGGGCTTTTTTCATTCTGTGGTGCTGAGAATGGAGCCCAGGACCTTGCTCATACCAGGCAATCTCTGTACCAGAGCCTCAACCCAGCCCATAGCTTACCTCTCTAACCTCGCTTTCCACTTCCCCCTTTCCATCTCAGATTACTATGGGTGCCCTTGTATGATTTGCATGTGACAGTTCTTCACTACATTGCCATTTAAAATGTGATTTTGTATTTTTATTAGACTACACATATGCACACACATACACATGCACACATACACACGCACACATACACACAAATACACATATACACACACATACACGCACACACGTATGCATGCATACTCGTACACACATATTTTCAATCCCCAGAGTTAACAGTCTCTCACTATTGAGCTTAACCTTGTGGTGTGTATCTCCCTGTCTGTAAAGAGCTTGCTTACCTTGCTGTTTCTGGATCTCCCTGCTTTACAGTTACCTATTTGCTCTTTGAGGAAGATAAGGATTTACTTTCTTCTCTCAACCTGTACCACACTTGAGTCCCTCCCCCACTTCTCAACATAATTAGATCAGTATTTATGGTTACTATTATGACAATTATTTAAATATTATCCACCTGCACATCATAGAGTAAACTGATCTTATCATTCCCGTACAACTTTTGGGGTTTTGGAGGGGGTTAATATTTGCATTTATTTTCTCTTTTGGTTGTTTTCTCTGAATTTACCACAAATTCAGTCCACTTCTTGACAGGTGGCCAAATATCTTATCAGGACCATCACACATATCTTCTGTCGGCTCCATCTCTGGTGTGCTCTATTTGGACATCTTTATCTGTACCTCACATACGGCCATCTTGGATCATGCCAACAATTCCCTTTGTCCCTTGCTCTCCTGACTTGTTCTTTGTTTTAATGAAATCCTTCTGTTGTTAGTTTCCTGGGAAGGGACACTTGGGATAGTTAACATTTTGTTTTTATTCTGCCTTCACACTTGACCGATTGATGGTTTGACCAATCTTAGGATTCTGGGACCTTACATTGAAAATTTCTTTCTTTCTAAAACTGAATATTCAGATACTGACCTCCCCCTTTCTTTAGTTTTCCTTTTATTTGTCTCCTTGCTTTGCTTGTGAGAGATGGTCTAGGTTTTACCTTACAAACCTTTGAGTTTTTTGTTTTGTAAAAACGATTTTTGGTGGTACTAGAGTTTGAGTAGAGCCATGCCTCCATCTCTTTTTACTTTAGTTTATTTTTCACATGGTGTCTTGTATTTTTGCCCAGAGCTGGACTCAGACCACAGTCCTCTTACCTCTGCCTCTTGCATAGATGGGATTCCAGGTACACACCATCACACCTGGCTCTCCCTTATGTCTTCCATTCCTTATTCCTCAAGAACTCCCCACCCATGAGCTCTTCCTAAAGCAAAAGCATGCTTTTATCGTTCTGAGGCTTCCGTCCCTGTCTATATCCCTCTGAGAATGTTTTAAGCAGTTCCTGTGTAATCACTGTCACTTCTGTTTTTGTTCAGAGCCTTCCCAGGATTGGGGGCTCTTGGTGGTTTGCTCATAGAGAGGGGCTAGGGGTTCTGAGCCTGTAGGTGGGGCTTGTAGACTGTGACCTTCACGTTGGAGTGACTGGAATGAGTGTTCTGCTGGGGAACCTCCGTGTAAGTGTCTTCAGAGCTTCCTTCAAGGTGAGTTGGAGTCCCGAAAGAAGAACACCTCAGTCTTCTGCCTTGATGGTAAAAGCCTGGCCGCCCTGCCTTTGGGAGCCCAGTGGGCAGAGAGCTGGGGATCTAGTGGTCAGTGTGGAAACTCCACTGCAACCCTCAGTTTCAGTATGGAGCCTCAACCTGTAGATGTGCACAGCTTTCTTCTCAAGTGCAGAAACCTCCAGGGAATAAGTGTCGTCATCTACTGGAAGAGGGCAGGGGAGGAGGCTGCAGGGTAGAGGCTGGTGGGGGCAGTTCTAGGGACCTGTTTCTTAATGAGCAGCTCAACCCTTTCTTGTTTTATCCCCACTTGTACATGCACCTGATCTCTGCATTTTCTGAGACTTGGGGGACTCTGCAGTGTGTGTTGTGTTACTTCTTTGCTCCCTCCGGGTCTGGCTGAAAACTCAGCTGTTGGGGTCTTTCAGGTCCTTTGCTGTTCAGTCATCCACTCTGTACATTTTAGATCACTGCTGCTTCTGCTTTCCATTTTGTTTCCCCACCTTTCCCTCTGCTCTGAAGACAACAGTACACGCTTCTTTTGAATCCGTTCACTCAGGAATCGCCAACGTTAAGATTTTCTACATCGTGTATGTATTATATAATTAGACACAAAGAACCCTTTCACAGGTTTTTGTTGTTGCTGTTTGGCCATACTGGGGTTTGAACTCGGGGCCTCATACTTACTAGGCAAATGTTCTATTACTTGAGCTTCTCCTCCAGCAGAAACCTTTTAGAGGAGAGTAGAAAAACCAACTGGCAATGCGTTATTTTTATCTCTTTTTGTGCAACTCAAAAAGGTCCCTATCTAATAATTCCAATACTAATAGCAATAATAAAAAAATTAGAGAGGTAGTAATGATGCCAGCTCCAATTCATTAGGTGCTCACTAGATACAGGACACTGAGTAAGCAGTGTTTCCCATTGCTTTGTTGTTTGCTTTGCATGGGCAAAAGTGAGACTCAGAGAGGTCAAGCAACTTGCCTGGGTCACCCAGCTAGTTCCATGGTAAGCCTGTACGTAAGAGATGACAGACTAACCTGGAACAAAATGTAACAGAACAATCCCAGGCTGAGTGGAATAAAGCAGAGCCCTTTGTGTGAGATATTTCTCTGCTTGTAGAGATGGAGGGGTTGGGAGATAGTATCTTTCCAGGCATAGAAATGAACTTTTCTGTCTTCCAGATTGTCATCAATACCTCTCATAGCAATGTCAGTTTGTCCTTTCCTGGGAGTTCTTTTAGTTCAGGATTCAAACCCTCTTTAGAGACACAGTCTTACAGTCCTGGAATTAACAAATTAAGCATTCCAAACAAGAATGCCTAAAATGTCACTGCCCACGTCGTTCTTGTAGCACACATTAAAGGTGTTTGCATAAGCAAATCTGGAGCCTGTGCCCACCTCTGGCCCTGCGCGGGCGGGCTTCTCCATGAGCAGACCTGTGGGCACCCTTGGCACACGTCTCCACAGGACTGTGCTCCATTCCCAGCCCTTTGTCCCCAGGGCCTGTTCCAGTCACCCTCTCACCAAGAAGCCCCTGGTGCCCTTCTGGCAGGGTGGCCTCACTCTCCCTGCCCACAGCCCTCCCGCCTTCCTCTGGGCATCTCGCTTCCTGACGAGCAGATCCCAGGTGCACCTGAGCCCTTCACTGAGGCCCAAGTCCTTCTGAGAGCCCCAGGACAGGTGTCGGAGGGCTGGCTGGCCTCAGAGCGGGCCTGGGCCGTTGCCGCCCTCCCACCTCTGCCTTGCATCCACGTTCTTCCTGATGCCGACTACCTGGATGACAGTGTGGGTACTAAAACCAGTTCACATACAGTGAGCCCTCACAAGCCTTATCGTCAGTATTTTCATTGTGATAAAAAAGACATCACATAAAACCTACCAACATGACCACTTTTAAGTGTGCCGCTCAGTTGAAATAAGACCATTCACTGGGTCCTGAGCCGCTCCCACCATCCGCCTCCAGAACCTTTCCATCATGCACAACTGAAATTCCATCCCTGTTAAATGACACTCCCATCCCCCATCCCAGCCTCTGGCAACCACTGGTCTCCCTTCTGTCTCCACAGATCTGACCAGGGGCCTCCAGTGTGTGTATTTCCCTTGGCCAAATGTCTCAAGGCTCATCCCTGGTGTAGCAGAAGTCCAGTTTCCTTTTCAAGACTGGGTAATATTCCACTGTGCAGGACGTGCCATGTTTTGCTCATCCATTTGTTCACACAGAGACACTTGGCTTGCTTCTTTCTTTTGGCTGTTGTGAATGACATTCTAGAAACTTTTAAAGATAAAACAAAGGACTTCAGAGGGATGTTGTGTTTGGCGCCCTGTGCCGAGGACAGGTACATTTTTGGGGACCTGCCTTTGGGACCCAAGTGGTGAGATCTGAGAGCAGTGATGTCATACCTGTAGTACTGTCTGGGCAGAAAGCATACGAAGGACAGAAGGAACAGTGTATAGTGCTTAGGGGAGTGAGGGGCACCGACAAAGAATTTACCAAGCCCCTTGGTAAATTCTTCCCTGCAGGAGGGAAGCATGTGTCTGGTGAGTGTGGAATGACAGAAGCTAGAGAAGATGGTGACAACTGTGCCCATGTCAAGATGCTTCACCAGGGCTAGGTGGGAACCAGAGACCCAAAGGACAAGTAGCAGGAAGATGAGGATGGGCGGCTCTTCAGCCAGGGACAAGGCAGAAGCCACAGACACTTTGTGACTGTGTACAGTGGGGTAATGTGGCAGGGCCCCAGCATGGGGGGCTGAGGTGAAAGGACATCAGAGCCGTGTGAGAAGTGTGAACCTTCATCACATAGGAAACGGGAGCCTCAGAAGGCTTTGAGCAGGAAGCAGCGGGGCTCGCTCACCTTTGAGGATGGTAAATACAGAACAAGAGTGTGGCTCCCTGCAGAGACCCATGGTCCTCAGAAGTGAGGGGCCTTGGTGGCTCCCTGCAGTGTCCCCAGTCTTCGCTATCCACCTGTGGCACTCATGGCCCTCGAGATCCTGAGCTGATGCTCTCTGGAAGGCACTGGCTCACCTCATTGTCCCCCACACCCTGCCCTCTGGTTGTGTCCCCTCTAGGTGCGGGGAGAACTGCTGCAGGAGAGGGTGCAACAGCTGGAGGCCCAGGAGGCGCACTTTGCAGAATCACTTGTCGCTCTGCAGTTCCAGAAGGCAGCCCAGGCCACTGAGACCCTGTCGGCCTGCTCTGCCCTGCTCAGCATCCAGGACTTGCTGCTGGAACTGCTGAGTGAGTCAGAGACACTGACCGCATCGGCCTGTGCCCGGATCCTGGAGTCCCACAGTCCGGTGAGTGCAGGCAGGGGGCCCCAGCACCCTCAGTTCCTTCTGGTGCTGTCTCTTCTTCAAGGAACGGGCTAGGAAGCACCTGTCCTGTCTGTGCTCCACGGCAAGGGTGGGGACCAAGCCAGGGACTTATTTAAGAACATTGTACACTCTTGCTCATTGTCTCTGAATTTCCACATCCGAGATGGACAGATTTTCCAATCAGTGGCATGGGTCATAGTTTCATTGGCAGTGTCGTTTCTCTTTTGGTGCTACAAAAACCAACTGTATCTTTTGGCTTAGCACATCCAAAATGCAGTCGTGTATTGGATTATTTATGTTTATAATTCTAAACATGCTCCCTTCTTTCAAGGTGAATACATTCATCCATAAAACAGATGCGATGGGGATAACCATTTTGAGGACTCATTTCAGGCTCTTTATGTATTGATCTTAAAATTCTGTATCTTACTTGTTACTGCGTAATTACTTACCATGAAGAAAAAGACCTCACAGTTACTGAGCTGGTAGCGTGGGTGGGCACCAAAATGTCCTGAATGGAAGTCCTCACATAAGCACTAGTGATTCTTCTTAAGGTTGTCATTTAACTTGATTTAAGAACCAGTGACAATTTCATGCTGGTTTACAAGTGAGCCCCTTGTCACACACCGTACCATGCTGTGATGGAGGTGCTATCGCTATGCTCAGTTCTCAGGTAAAGAAAGTGAGATTTGGGCTGGTGACAGGTCAAGTTCTTTGTGAACACTGTTTGGCTTATCAATGAGAAGAACCAGAAACCCAATTAACATGTGGCGTGGACCCATGATGTCACCCTCATGGACTATCCCAGAGGACAGGGTATGGGGCCTGTACTTCCTTTTAAAGAATAATAAATGACAGTAGACTCTGAAGAGTCCAACCCTGGCAAACACCATGCTCCCTGCACTGTGCCAGCTGTTTTAAGGCTATCACAGAGGAAGGGTCATGGCAGGAATTTTAACATGTCCAGGGATGGGCAGATAAAAAATATATACTTTTTATGCTTTGTGACTATTCTCAAAAGAGAATAATCCGTAGCCACTGGCTCTGGGCACAGGGGTTGCCTTGGGGAGCAACTCTGGGCTCTAGGGCAGGTGAGTATGGGGTGTCCTGATGAAGTAGAACACCCTGTGAGGGCTGGGAGGAAAGATGTCTGCTGCCAGAACCTGTCTGTCTCAGCCTGCTCCAGGGGTGGGCCAGTTCTCCCTGTGGATTTCAAATCCCAGGCTTCTGCTTGGGTGAAGAAGGAATCCAGATGCAGGTTAGCCACTCAGGACATCTCCAAGGGGATCAGTGAAGTTCACAGAGCTCCAAGTTGGTTGGCTGACTGTCCTGGTCCAAAGTCAAATGCTCCCCAGAGAAAAATACCCTCAGTTGGAAGCTAGGATTTCCACGGATTAAGTTCAGCTCTCGGTGGGGAAAAAAAAAAGCCACGAACACATAAGAAGCAAGTCAAGATGACCTATCTAGAGGAGAAATGAGAAATAATGCCTTTGAAGGCTTCAGTATGTCAATGACCAGCAGAGAATGTAAAAATGATTTATGAAATTAGGAAGAGAGAGAAAGTCAATGCAAAAATGAATTACAACGTTTTACTCACCCAGAGCAAAATTTAGCTTGGTGTTTTAAAGCTTTGATGCTAAGCTTGCACGTACCTAGTACAAGACTCAAAACAACAAAAAGAAACACTGATAGAATGGGCAGAAATTGGTAAATCTGTCACCAGAGTGGGCAGTGTCAGTGTGATCGATGGATGGATGGATTGAACACAAGTGAAGCATAGGTAAAGCAAGGAGCGCGTTGAAGAAGCTGGGTCTCCACGTGCACCCCCAGAAGCCCTCAGCCAACAGCTAAGCAACATGCATTCTTCAGCACCATTGGAATAGTTACAAATAACTGGCGTAAACCGTTTTGACACCTTTTGACAAAGGACGCTTAAGTTCAAATCAGCTAAAAAAGATAGTTATAAAAGTCTGTGCTTTGGAAATTTACAAACACACGTCCGAATAATTCCTGGGTTGAAGAGATCGTAGGAATCTAAAGATACTTGAGGCAGACGATGATGTGCCCGTGACACTGCGGACTGTGGGGTCCCGCTAACTCAGTGTTTAGAAGGAGATGTATGCTGTAAACATCCATTAGGGAAGAAGGAAGGCTCACAATTAAGATCCTATGAGAATTTACAGGTGAAACAGCAACAAATGAACTGGTAGAGAGCAAAAGGAAGGAACATAGCATAAATGAAATCGAAAACAAATCCCCCAGAGAGAGAATTAGTAAGTGAGAAATGTTTAATTTTTATTTTATTTTTTTATATTATTGTTGTGCTGGGGGTACATTGTGACATTTACAAAAGTTCTTACAATATATCACGGTTGAATTCACCCCCTCCATCATTCCCCTTTATTCTTTCTTCTCCATTCCTGGAAGAGTTTCACTAGGTCTTATTTTCCAATTTTCATACATGAGTACATAATATTTACACCATATTCACCCTCCTCCACCCTTTCCTGTTACCCCAATTGGTACCAATCCCCAGACAGGACCTGTTTTACCTTCCTGTTCTTTGTTTTTGAAAAAGACATTTTTGTTTATTTAAAATATCTACACAGGAAGTTTCATTGTGACATTTCCCTGTACATATATATAACAACCCAAATTTGTTCTTCCCCTGCATTTTTCTCCTTTCTACTTTAGTTCATTCCTTATGGTGATTTCAACAAGTAAAATGAAAAGGTTTTAAAAGTCTAGTAAAATATGCAAATCTCTGAAAGACTGACCATTTAGAAAGAGATCTTTAGAACTCCTGATGTTAATAAATAACATCAGGAGTTAAAAAGCAATGTAACTGCAGATGCAGTAAGGTTTTACTTTTTTACAGACAGCTATGAATTTAGTTTTGAAAATGAAAACTTACCCCTTTATTTTTCTAGTTCAAATTCTAAGTTTTCAATAGGAGATTCTTTATTAAATTTTTAAAATTTTTATCATTTTCACATTTACTTACATGTATATACATTGTTTGGGCCAACTCCCCCCACCCCTCCCCGCCCCCCACACCCCTCCCTGCTTCCCGGCAAAACCTGTTTCACTCTCTTGTTCTCCAATTTTGTTGAAGAGAAAACATAAGAGATAATAAGAAAGACATAGCGTTTTTGCTAGTTTGAGATAAAGATAGCTATACAGAGAGATTCCTAGCGTTGCTTCCATGCACTTGTGTATTGCAACCCACATTGGTTCATCTTTACCAGACCTCTTCACTACTTCCCGGTCCCCTTCCCATAGTGGCTTCTGCCAAGATTAGCCAGGCTCAGAAGGCCAGAAATCTCATGTTCTCCCTCATTTGCGGATTATAGACCCAAAACAAATGCAGTAATATTATCGGACATGGATCACACACGAAGGGGAGAATGTGCACGGGAGGAATAGGGAAAGGGAAGGAAACCTAAAACTTGAATGTGGTTGATGTGCTCAGTGTAGAGGACATCAAGAGAATATATGAACAACTTTATGGAGATGACTCTGAAAACATATGAAATGGGAAACATTCTAGAAAGATATAAATCACAAAGTAGTAAAACTGTCTGTATGGTTCTAATGCTGTGGAAGAAATTGATCAGAAGTAAAAAATCTGCCCCCCCATATAACCCCAACAAGTTTCAGATGTGAGGTCCGCCAGACTTGAGGGTGTTTTGCTAATCACGTGTACATGTTATTCCTGATGTTAGAAAAACAGGGACTCTGTAATTCCATTTTATGAGGCTCAGATAACCTCGACACCAAAACCAGACATGAGTAGTATAAGAACAATTTTAGTTGTGAAAATAGATGTACAATTTGTGAACAAAATGTTAACACAACCCATCCATGTATTTTAAAACAAAAGGGAATACATTATGGCCAGGTTGAGCTTATCTCTGGAACATAAGGCTGACTTAACATTTGAATATCCACCTGGTTAACAGGTTAACGGGAGGAAAACAACCCACATGACCACTTCAGAACATACAGAAGTATTGTACTGAATTTAACATACAAGATGAAGCCCCCCCAGCAAGAGGGACCCTCAAGACAGCACTCACCCCAAACCCACAGCTCGCAGCGCCCTCTGAGGTGGTTAGCATGGAGGTGGGCTGTTACCCTGAATGTCCAGTTGGAGGAGGTGAGCCCTGGAGAGTGAAGAACAGGTTCAAGGTCACGTGATGAGTGAGGAGCAGAGTGGGACACCAGGAGCAGCATTTCAGTTCAGCCCCCCAGCACCCTGATTTCTGTTAGTGCCTAGGGAACACAACACCTACCTTTTCCACTTGATCTCAAAGCTCTTAAGTAATGTCGAAGCTTCATCTCCAGATTGCTTGGAAGAGGAGAGTCCGTGTGTCCTGAACTGGGAGCAGCTGGGAATAAGTCAGGTGGCACCGTGTTATGTAGCCGGTGGCAAGACAGAAGGAGTGGTGCACCTCACCTTTGGTTTGCATTTTGTTAGACTTTCATCTGCAACGTGACTGTTCTGTGTAAACCACTTTCCTGTTGGGAATGAACTTTTAAGCTGTTAGCATTCTGGAGAATTAAAAAGGCATGAAATGAAATTCCTTGGAAGAAATGACTCCTAAGAAAACTATCAAGTGCACCTCATTCGATGAACGATTTAGGCTCATTTTGTGAAATTGGAACACAAGCAAGGTACAGTCCCATACGAAGGCCAAGTGGTAATGATGGCAAATTAAATCGGGGTAGCCTTACTCTGAACAGATGATGTCACCCCAGAAGAACTGTACTCTCTGTCTTTGCATTTCAGTTGAAATCAGCAAGAATCCGCTTCCCCACGCCCCAATGGCCCCTCTCCATTCTTCCCTCCACCTCAGGGCTCACGTGCCTCACTAGTCACCCTCAGCTGATTCTGCCTGAACTTTCTCATGCCCAGCTTCTGCCACCAGCTCCACTGCTCTGACGTATGAGACCTCAAATGAAAAATGGCTTGCCAATATTAATGAGTTTCGTTATGCCAAAGCATCACATTAGGCATCTCAACCTTACATCTTTGCCATGGCATTCAATATCTGCCCCTTTGAGAGATGTCTCCTACAATGCATTTGTCACACCTCCTTGCAAACTCCTGTCCATATTCTAAGGCAAGCCCAAGTGTTGTAGCCACCCAGGATCCCCCTGAGCAGGGCTGGTCTCTCCCAGCTCTGTGCTCTCATAAACCCATCTGGATCTCTGGGATTTCAGATATGGCACTTTCCCACCACTATGTGTACACAGCTGTCTCCATCATTACACTATAGGTTTTCAGAAGCTAGGGCCATGTCTCATCCAGCCTGAATATCTACCTATCGATCTATCTTCCATCCACTCATCTATCCATCCTTCTATCTACCCGTCCACCCATCCACCCATCCATCCATCCATCCATCCATCCATCCATCCACCCATCCATCATTGTCGTCATTACCATCTGCAGATATCCATGGAGTGCTTACTAGAGGCCGGAGAGCTGAGAGTTGGGTTCCAGAATTGGAGAAACAGAAGATCTCTCTGACTATGTCTCTTCCTTAGCCCTGTGATTATACTCTGTGCCTTAGCTACCTTATCTATAAAATGGGGTAATAAAAAACTCCTACCTCGGGGTATTTTACAAAGATTAAATAAACTAATTCATATAAAAGTGCTATGAATCAAATCCGGCACAGCTTTGTCACTCAGTAAGTGATGGTGCCATCATCAACATTGTGGTCATTGTCACTGTTGCTTCTTCCATGAGCATTAAAGAGCGCAGTTCCAGAACTGAGTTTTGGATTCCAGTTGTGCTAAGTGGCAGGCAGATGGACAAGTGAGAGCAGGCCTCTGAGGGGAGGGAGAGGCAGGACTGACCTGACACTCTGGGAGCCCCACCGTCAGCAGGTAACCAACTACAGGACACTATCCTCCTGTCTTCTGTTCCTACCCGGGATTTTCCAAGTTGGTCCTAGGAAAGCCAGTCTTCTATGCTCCACTGCTCTCTCTGGTGACATGGACAGGCTCGGGTTTGAGCTCTCTGTTGCCAGCTGGGGCTGGCTGGCATCCCAGAGGCAGAGGTCTGGCCTCTGATTCAGGCTCTTAGCCGTGTTAACATCTGGACAGTCATGCTGCACCCCTCTGCCTATCTTTCTTTCATCTTGGTTCTTGTGGAGTGTTTTTGAGCCTTGAGGGGACTTTGGGACTCTTGAGAATTTGATGTGAACTTTGGCCCCTTGCAGAAAGGCAAACCATTTTGTACATATTTTAAGGGGATCAAGGACCACCATTCCTTGATGAAACCCATCCATGACCTCTAAGGCTGAATCCCTCACCCCACCTTCCACTTATGGCCTCATGGGGCAGTCTGGTGAATAACAGTTAAATGTGTCTACATTCTCCAAGGCCTGGGCCTAGGTTTTCCTGCAGCAATTTCAGCTTTCATGTCTTACTTTAAGGTGTCTAATTCCCTTTGATTTGATTTTGGCACAGGGTGAGAGATAGAGGTCTAGCTTCTAGCTTCAGTCTTCTACGTATGGATATCTAGTTTTCCCAGCACCATTTGTTAAAGAGACTGTCTTTTCTTCAATTTGGGATTTTGGCACTTTTGTCAAAAATCAGCTGACTAGGGGCTGGGGATGTAGCTCAGTGGTAAAAGCACTTTCCTTGTATGCATGAGGCCCTGGGTTCAATCCCCAGCACTGCAAAAAAAAAAAAAATCAGCTGACTGTAATTGTGTGGACTTATTTGTGCATTTTCTGTTTCATTGGTCTGTGTGTCTGTTTTTGTGCCAGTACCATGCTGTTTTTATTGCTATGACTCTGTAGTATAGTTTGAAGTCAGGCATTGCAGTACCACCAGCATTGCTCTTTTTGCTCAGGATTACTTTGGCTTATCTATATAACATTCTAATTGTGGAACTGTTTGGAGAGGGGAGGAGATGGGCATTGAGAAAGAATGACAGAGGTGAACAATATCAAAATACATTGTGTCTGTGTATGAAGGTGGCACCTGGGAGCTGTTGACTAGTAGGGGGTGGAGAGAGGGAAGAGAGAGCAATGGGCGTAATCTGATCAAAGCACAAAATACACATGTGTGAAATGTCATGGTGAAACCGCTTTGTACAATTAACATAAACTAAACGCCCCCTCAGCCTGCTCAGCTGTACAGAGCACTGTTTTCCTCTCGTGACCACATGGTGGATGGGGAGCTGAACTGTATATCAACAGCCCAGGAGAAATCCACATTCAGAATTCACAGGGTGCTTGCCACCGAAATATGTTGCTTTCACACCATGGTAAAAGCGAAAATCCTAAGTGGAGCCATCCTTAGTTGGGCGCTGTCTGTATACAAAAAGCCTGTGATATGCTGTAGGTGCCGTTGACATTTGTTATGGTGGCTGCATCCCAGCCCAGCTGTCATCCATGGCAGATGCAGGCACAAGTCCCACATGAAGCCAGAAGCAGGTGGCAGCCACCAATCATGACACAGATGGAACAGGAGACTCAGCCCTGCCCTGGGGAGCTCACTACAGCAAAAATGTGCAGGCTAGTGATGCAGGTGACCATAAACCTGGGACACATGCAAGTGCCATGAGTGGCACAGAAGCACGGGTGTCCATGTCTCCCAAGGGACACGGGGAGCCCACCAACAAGGAGCTTCTTAGAAAATCAGGAGACTTAGACTTAGAGTTCTTCAGATGGACAGGCCCACAGGTGGAGGGAATAGCATGGCACTGTGAGAGACCATGGCACCGTCACACCACACAGCTGGGCACAGCTGGACAGGGGCCCTGCCATGCCACAAGGTCAGGTTTTGTCCTTTCATCACTCGCCTTCTGCAGTGGGCCTCATTCCACCTCCTCTGTGTGCAGGAGCTCCAGGAGCTGGAGAGGAAGCTGGAAGAGCAGCTGGCACGGCAGGAGGTGACCCAGCAGCAGCAGGCCCTGGCCAGCTGGCAGCAGTGGGTTGCCGATGGGCCCAGGCTTCTGAGCGAGGCTGGGGAGGTGGACTCTGAAAGGCAGGTCTCTGCCATCCTGCGGCAAACCCTGAGAAAGAGCCAGAAGCTGTTGGAGCACCATCAACAGAGGTAGGCCACGTGGCCCATGCCCTGGGTGGTACCTGGCCTCTCACCCTCCTGTGTAAGCTGCTTGGGCACGAGCTGCTAGCTTTGGGAGGTGTCATCTTTCTTCTTCCATGGCACCTTTCTATGCTTCCTTTCTTTTCATTTTGCATCCTTAAAAGTTTACTAATAATAGTTTTAACTTTTTACTTTTAAATAATTATAGACTCCCAAGAAGTTGCAAAAATAGTACAGGTTGATCCCTTTTCACCCAGCTTCCCCACCTACCTGGTCACATCTTATGTAGTCATAAGACATCATTAAAACCAGAAGTTGTGATTGGCACAAGAGGGTCCCTGTGTAGACTTCCCTATAGGTGTATCATTTTACACCCTGCTCTTGGAGAGTTATGAAACAGACCCCAGCCTTCCTTCTTTGGTCTTTGCATTCTTTTGCAATGAATGTTAGACTATTAGCCTTTGCCTGTGGCATTAAGAATTCTTGGAAAGACATAATTTCCTACAGCTCCCTAGTTTTCCATGTGAATGAAATGTCAATGAGGACAGGACAGGATGCAAAGCTATATACTGTTCACGGTGTGGGGAAAGAAACAGACCCAATTTTCATGGCTGTCATTTCTGGGTGATGAGATTACAGGAGATTTTAATTCATTTGATTTTGCTGTTCCCTGTAACAATACAATGTCAAAGTGCATTTCAGTTCCACTGAAATAACCGTATGGGGGAGCAGAGTGTGTGATGACGGCAAATGCTTGGAGGTGCTGACTGATTCCGACTGCAGTTTTGGGCTTGGGCTTTCCCCTGCTCCTGGAGAAGTTTGGGTTGGAGTTGTGGCTGCAGAAGCACTGGGTCATAAGGGCAAATGGAATAAGGGGCGGATCTGCTGTGCCAGCTTTGACTGGCCAACTTGGAGTGGAGCAGAGTCCCTGGTCTGGAAGTCAGGAATCCCCCTGTGGCAAGGTGCATGCCAGACTTGCAGTCAGCCCATGGCCATCTGTGGACAATGGCTCTGGGTCTGCTTCGGCCCAGGGCAGAGTGGGTATGAACCTCAGGTGTTGTTCTTCTTGGTCCTGGCTGTGAGGACCAACACAGAACTTTCAACATGGGATCATAGAGCACCCATGGGGCCTTGGAGCAGCCTCCTTGCACCTCCCATGGGGCTTCTCACCAAACAGCCCTCCTTCCTGGTGAGCCCTCCAGACATGCTATTTTGGAAGGGGACCAGACTAGGAAAGGAAAGCAAAGCTTTCATGGTTTCTATCTATGGCCCGGACCTGTCATTCTTTGTCATTTACAACGAGGTGATCTCGCAGCATCCCCTCATGGCAAAGCCGTGTGGACTTGTCTTCTGTCTAGGGTGAGGGAGGAGCAGCAGAGCAGTGCAATGCTGGAAGACCTGCTGGAAAACAAGGAGAATGACACCTTTGCCAACCTGTGCAGCCAGGTGAGAGGATATCCAATACTGGGTCTGGCCCTGCCCGTGGGGTACTTCTCCTTTCCCAGAGCCCGCCTCTCCTCAGCTGTGGGGAGGGGATGACCGCCCACCTCAGGAACTGCAGGGTGGGTGCGTGAGAAGCCCAGGGAGAGGCCTGGCAGGAATTGGCTGCTGTCGGTGTGGACGGCAGCAGCCACAGTAGAGCGGGTGGCTTGGTTCCCATGGCCCCAGGTTCAACCAATCATGGATGGATTTTCTTAATGTTGCACTGCTGTGGCTGTGTGCTGTGTATTAGGCCTGGGATAGTTGTGTCCCTGCTGAACAGGCACAGACTTCTCTTGTTATTATTCCCTAAACTATTATAGGTACCCGTGACTTCTGTCGCATTCATGTTGTCATAGGTGTTAGAAGTCACTAGGGATGACGGATGGTATACGGGAGATGTGCATAGGCTTCATGCAAATATGACGCTATTTTACATAAAATGAAATGTATCAGCCCCCTCACTGTCACCCAGAAAAACAGACCTGAGCTAAAGGACAGCAGGGTGGTACATGGACTCCCCCAGGCCCTGCTTCTCCACCTCTCTCCTCTGTTTCTTGTCCCCAATAATGAACTTTTTTTCTCACAGAAACGAGTTGCAGCCTGCAGCCCTGAGCTCACGGCCACTCAGCATCTCCCTGTCCTGGCTTTGCCACATAAAATCTCAGGCAAAGTCTCTGATTGGAGAAGTGAGCAAGCATGCTTGTCCTGGGGTCACTCTGGCTGGTACTTACTTGTGTCTTTGTGACACTGGGCAGTTGCACAAGCCGCAGTTCATTCTGTCCTCACCAAACCTAGTCATAATGTTAATTGTCTTCATTTTATAGGTGAGGAAGCAAGGAATAAAGAGAAATAAGGGATGGCCCATGGCATCACTGGGAGCCCAGTGCAAGTTTTCTGGGTCACAGAGTCCAGATATATAGACATATTTGTATTTTGGTGGTACTGGGGTTTGAACCCAGGACCTCATGCTTGCTAGGCAGGCACTGTACCACTTAAGCTACTCCGCCAACCCAAGATATTTTTTTAAATTGTATTTTGAAGTTCGTGGGATTCACAGAAAGTTGCAGAACCTGTGGTGGGAGTTCGCATCCCCCTGTTTAGTAAAGCTGTCACCTGTGTGTTATATCCAATCCAGGAGTGGACACGAGTCACTCTTTTGCAGTAGACTCACGTAACCACCACCAGGACCAAGAAGCAGAGCTTCTGCCTCACCAGGGCCTCTCTGTGCTGCCCCTTCAGAGCCACACACACTGTCCCCCGACCCCGTGCTGTCCCCAGCCCCTGGCAACACAGGTCTCTCCTCCAGCTCCACATTTTGTGCAGTCTGCAGTGCAACACACATGGGGTCGTGCAGCCTGGGACCTGTGGACACTGTGAACTCCACTTAGCATAATGAACGTCTGTGAGACCCATCTGTGGCTTTTTGCTACTGAGTGGGGTTCTGGGGTGTGGATGCAGCAGTGTCTCCAGTCATCCACTGGTTTAGGGACACTCATTGTTCCCAGAGCCTGTGCCGCTCCTCCAGAGCCACCTGGTCTGAGTTGATCAGGATCAGGAGAAAGGTTGCTGACTGCCCTGCTGCTGTCCAAAGCTTCTCTTGAGCTGCCTTGAGCACTGCCAAATGAGCTGAGTTGGAAGGGGTGGACCAGCCGTTAGGAATGCCATGGGTGCCGAGGCTGCTGACCAAAGAGATCAGATCATGTTTGCCAAGCTGAGCCAATAAAAACTTTATCACCCCAGAACATAAAGCCTAAGAATGTAATCAGTTAAAAATTGCCGTCCATCAAGTACAGAGACAGTGAGGACCTGAGCTCCATCTGCCCCTCCTCTAGGAGCTGAGGCTGGCATCTTACTTCTTGAAGATGACGATGGTGCCCAGAGCTGCACTGCACCGGCTCCTGAGCGTGGTGCTGCCCACAGCCTCCCAGCCCCAGCTGCTGGCCTTGCTGGACTCAGCCAGCGAGAGACATTCAGACCACGTGGCAGAGAACGAGGGCAGCGGGGAGCAGGCCGACCTGGGCAGGAGTCGGTGAGTGCTACACAGGGACTTTGTCAAAGCCAGGCATGCCTTTGAGCCAGGGAGACGCATGGGGAAGGGTCAGGCCCATGCGTCTCCCCAGCTGGGCCCTTCTGCTCAGAAGGCCTCATGAGTCTAAGACTGGGGAGGCCCAAGTATTTGGTTCTACGCTAATTTTGTCATCAATTTATTTTAAGTAGAATCTTAAGGAAATAAACTTCCCTGCAGCCATAAGTATGTTAGACACACCCATGAGGGAAAATGTAAAAAATGCACAAAGGGAAAAAAACAGCAAAACAAAAGTCTGTGGGTTTATTACCCAGAAAAACTGGCTGCTAGTATCTGGCTGTATTTCTTTCTCTGCTTTTTTTTTTTTTTTGAGGTACTGGGGTTTGAACTCAGGGCCTTATGTTAGGCAGGCTACCCTTTTTTGTGCTGGGTATTTTCGAGTAGGGTCCACAAACTGTTTGCCCAGGCTGTTCTCACACCAAGATCCTCCTGATCTCTGTCTCCTGAGTATCTGCTGGATTTTATGAGTGTGCTGTTGTGTGTGATGAGTTAGTGGGATTAGTGTGTGTGAGAGCATGGGTGTGAATTTGTGTTTATGTGTACATGTGTGTTGTATGTGTAAGAACATGGGTACAGATGTGCTTCAGTTTCCTGTGGGATTGTTTCCTGATAAGCCCATTATAAATTGAAAAATATCATCAGTGGACCTGAAGCAGAAGCAGTGTCCATATCCCCATCCCACTAGTTAGGTTTATTTCCTACTATTTTGATCAATTTAAGGGTCATGCCTCTCACACATCTTCATAGATGTTATTTTTAGTGACCGTCTAGTACTCCAGTCACTTTAGGGTCCGGGCGTGAATTTGGTCAGAAAAGCTTCTTTATAAGGCAAAGCAGGAAGATTAGTATGGATGGAGTGAAGCAGGTTTGGGGAGCAGCCAGCAGTGTCACATAAGAACAGAATTACGTGGGGACCAGATAGAGTGAAGAATGCCAGTTGCAGAGCCCACGTCCTCAGCCTGGACCCACAGGAGGCTGCTGAAATGGTGGATTGTGCGGACAGACGTGTGGACACTGCTTTTCCTGATAAAGGGACAGTGTCTTTTTGTCAGTTGTAAAGGGGTCTTTGACTCAAAAGACAAGAAACACACAGAGGACATAAAGAGGGGGCTGGGGTGAGAAGAAGGGGCATGGGGCAAAGGGTGTAGTGGGCAGGAGTCCTGGGGCCATGGGTACAGCACAGTCAGGGGGCGGGATGCGGGTGTGGTCAGAGGACTGGCTGTGGTGTGGGCTGGTCTAAGAGCAGGCATGTATGTGCTCAGAACGGAGTGGGTGCTGGGAGAAGGATGGATGTGGGCATGGTCAGAGGACCTTGTTCATGGGGCTGCCCCTCAGCCAGCTTAGTTTGGGAGGCTGGTAAGGAGGGTGGACAGGATAGGCTGGGAACAGGAAGGAGGACTCTGGTGGCTGTCACAAGAGTAGAACATGTGCCTGCCCTCTCTTCATCCAATCTCACTGGCCAGGTGGATTGGATGACCTCTCCAGGTCCCAGCCACCCATCATGGCCCCTAAGAGTGGGGCAGTCACACCCTTTGAGCCTGAGCACCTGACACCTGGTTGTCATGTCAGTTAAGAGCTTTGGGTTTCAAGCAAGAGAAGATGACTGACTGACTAAGCAAGAGAGGGTGTCCTCAGGGACATGTGGGATCCAGGGAAGCCCCCAAGCGTCCAGCCAAGGAAGGGAAGGCCCAAGGCAACATGGTGGGTTGAGGCCTCTCTGGGATTCTGCTGTCAGAGGAGCACCCTGACTGCCCAAGAGGCAGATTCCCTGCCTTGGAGGGAAAGTGTGCCTCGCCTAGCATGGGACTCAGCTGTCTCCATCACCAGAAGGCAGGTGGGTCCCACAGAACAGAGGACTCTCATCTCCACATGGTCTTTTTTGGTTCACACCAAGGCCCACGCTCAGCTCTCCCTCAGTCTCCCCTGGCACACTCCAGTATCCCTCTCCTAGAGTCACACACCTGCTGATGGCCTTCAGGCCCCTGTCCAGCCCACCTTCCAAGCTTGCACTGTGGTTTCTACATGTTTGGCATCTCTAACGCACTTCCCGAGCCCCCAGTACATCTGCGGTCTTAGGCTCTAGGACAAAGACAAAATTCTGTCCACATAGACCACACACCCTGGGGCATGACAAGATGGACATACATAAGCCAGCAAACAGCTCTTCATGAATGTGCCACCTGCCTCCCTTTGTTCCCACCTTTCCACTGCCCTCCTCTGACATCACCTGGCACCGTCTGTGGTTGCCTGAACTGGGAACAAGGGCAGAAATGGCACCTTGAGCAGGCCTGGGAGGGGCTGGGAGGGTGAGCACTGAGTGAGTGGAAGATCCCAGGATGGAATCCGGGCTCCTGGGCTCAGGCAGAGGTCACCTTGAGGGATGGACCCCTGTGGGACTATTCAGAACCATTAATCACCCACAGATTCCATTCATTTTGCCATCAGGAAACACCAGGCCTGGTGGCGAACGTTTGAGAGCAAGCTGCGTGCAGACCTGGTGAGCAGAGGACTAGATCAGATGTGCTGGGCCCGCCGGAGGAAGGAGAGGTATGGGCCACACAGGTGGCTGGGAGGGGGAGGCCAAAGGTGACAGGAGCAGGGGCCTTCCCTCCAGACCCCAAGTCTTTATTCTAAGCTGAAGATAAGCCTGTTGCTAGCTGTGGCAGTGTGTTTCCTCACACTTATTAGCATTTTAATTACTGTATTTATTTTAGCTAATAGCTGGTTTTAATAAGATATAATTAAGAAAAAGAATAATTCCTTTTAGCTGTTCAGACTTTATTGTTCCCAAAGCCCTTTCACCTCTTGTTGCACTGAACCTTCTAGAAAATGAGGCTATAAAACTGGATCCTGGAAAGGTCTGATGCAGAGCCCAAGACCACAGCTGGTGAACGGTGGCCATGGGACATGGGACATGGGACATGAGACTGTTAAACCCCTCCAATGTCCCTGAACTCCCAGGCTTGTCTCTTCCCACTCCACACCTGTCTCTTTTGATTGATCTTTGCATACCTGGAGATTGGAGGGGTGTGAGGGCCAGAGTGACCTTAGATCACTACCAACCACTGGCCAAGTGTCTCCTGTGGTTCCAACTAGGGGAGATTTGGGGGGTAGGGGAAATGTAACATTGAGAAGATTCACAGTAACTTAAAAAAGTGACATCCACCATGTGCTCTGAAAAACAGTGGCTGTCAAAGGGCAGTGTCTACCCAAGTCCTGTCCCTCCCATAATTTCTCAGCACCAAGGTGAAGGTGCTAAAACAGCTGTGTGGGTTGTCCACAAAGCTGGGAGCCATTGCCAATAGACTCTCAGAATATAGCCCCACAGAACTCAGGATATTGGGCAAAAGAAACCAATTCAAGCCCAGATCAAGAAAACTGAATTTGAGCTCTGTGACTGTAAACTGTTGCACCAGGAGCGTTCCTGGGCCGTGCTGGTGGACATGGGTTGGACATGGGGCTTGCTGTGGCTGCCTTTGCTCTGCCTAGAGGTGCTGTGGACAGCTGGGTGGGAGAGGGAGAGGTGCTGTCACACAGAGCTGGGTCTGAATCCTCATTCAGGTTCATATAAGCTGCGAGGGCAGGAGTTAGCAGTAGTAACAGTGGAGCTGAATCAGCCATGTTGCTTAGGGAGGGCCAGCAAACCTGCCAGTGATGTCTTCCAGGAGGTCCTGCAAGGCTGGGGCAGAGAGGGTGCGGCTGTCAGGTTGTGTAGAGCTCTTGGGCTGTCATCACATCACCCAGAGCAGCCAGGGATGCAGGTGCTCAGGCCTGTTGCAGGACATCCCGAAACGTGCTATGCTGTCCCTTTGCAGACACATTTTGCCTAACTTCTGTCGCCTGAAACCAGGTCTCGGGAGCCTGTTGCTAGGGAGAGGCCTGTGCAATGCATATGTAAATGTTGAATAGAGCTGGTGGGGTGCAGAGCGGAGGCTTGGATGGGTAGCTTTGTCCCCGTCCATGGTGTAAATACTCCCTGCTGACCTCATGCTACCAGTGTGAAGACAGTGGGAGAGGAAAACTGCTGGTCATTTAACAGTCACAAGCCAGGAAGGGCTGACTGCAGCTGACTGCAGCACAGGGGCAATCTGGTGCCCAAAGAGAAAAAGAATTCTTTAAAACAGCACTTGGTTGGGGACATCAGAGCTCCAAACAGGATTCTCCACGGGAACTCTCAGAACACTAGGCGGATGCTAACAACCCTGCAGTGTCAAATTTGATCTTCCTTTCTGTCTTTAGCATCTTAAGGAAGACATGCCTCCCTGTCAGAGAGAGGGCGATGTTCCCTGGAAAAGGAAGTTGGCCACACCTCTCTCTGGAGCCCATTGGCGACCCGGCACCCATCTCCATCACCGGCGCAGAAACCATCGATGTCTTAAACACAGGTGAAAAGATCTTCATATTCAGAAGCCCAGAGGAGCCCGAGTTCTCATTGCGTGCTCCTCCCAGGAGGAAGAAGAACTTTCTGAATGCCAAAAAGGCCAGCAGCGCCTTGGCCTTGGACTAGCCGGGAAGCATCTGAAGACAGAAAGACTTGCTTTGTCCTGCACACCTGGGTCGTGTGTTTGTTTCTAAGATATGACTTAGAGGATGTAAACTGCACATGCAGAAGACATAGTGTCCCACATGCTGGCTGTCAAGGGCTCCATTTACTCCATCTCAGAAATTCCATTGCACCCGCTCTCTTTTGTATCACAAGGGCCTGAACACTGATCCCTTTAAGTCCTGTGGAACCAGGAACCTGGAGGAGACCCTGGCTCCTGCCACACCCCAGTGCCTAACTGTGTGACTGACGTGACTTCACACACTTCTTCCTGTTTTTATAAAGGGAACTTTAAAAATAAATGTGTTTTGTACATAGCTCTTCACAGTGGGACTCATTCTTGCTAATGTGGGAGCCATTTATCTTTTATTTCTTCTGCATCTTGTCTCCCCGTTGGGTGTCCAATAGAGAGAGAGAGTTGCCCTCTGTCACTCTGGTTGTCAGCAAAAGTGCGAGCCCTGGGGTTGCCCTCACCAGCTCAAGTCAGAGTTAGATTTCCTGTTTCACAAATGAGGAAACTCAGAAGGTTAAGGAGAAGTGACTCTTATAAGATCATAAAGCTAACACAAAGCAAAATCGGGCTCATACTTCATGACACCAAACCCCGTCCTTCCTTCCAGCCTCGATCACTGGGCACGCTCACGGTTCATTCTTCACCACAGTGCTTCCCTGTGTCCTGACCCTTCCGTTCTCACTGCACGGTCAGGAGCAGCGATGTCTGTTTAGAGGGGCTGGCAGGGATAGGCAGGTAGAATGGGAACAGTAACACAAAGGAACCAGAAAACAGGTGCCAAGCGTCCTGCTTCACCACTGTCCTAGTGAAACAACTGAGCACGGTTGAGGCTTCTCTTAGTACAATGGCCAATGGTTCCCCAACAGGGACTTTCCCAACCCTGAAGGTCACCAGAGTCCTCATCTACTTTTCATTATAGTTGCAGATTCACGTACACATCTCCCCTCTAATCGCCATCTTAGCTCTGAGGACACCTGATTAGGTAAAGTCCCTATACCCCAGTTTTTGGAAATGCCCTCTCAATTCTAAGAACTTCTACAATTATGTACACACCCTCAGCATGGTCACTAAACCCTACACATAAGGGTGCCCGAGACTGGGTGTTTGGGGTGCTTGATTGGCCAATCTATGGGGGTGTACTTTGCTTTTGCTTCAATAATACTTTTGTTTGCTTCAGTAAATCTCATTTTCACATTTTCTTCTCATGAAGAAAACTTCTGCTCATGAAGACTCCTCTGTGTGTGTGTCTGTCTGTCTGTCTGTCTGCCCATGAATTTTTTCTTTGGCTAGACCTAGAACCTGCCATTTGTCTCTGGTGACAGGGCCCCATCACTGTGTAAGTTTTCCTGGGAGCTGAAGAAGACAGCTGCAATGAGTCTTTCCTGGGTGTAGGACGTGATCAGAAAGGGAATCTGTCACCAGCAAGGGGAAGAAAAAGGGTCACCACTGAAAGATCTGTTACACAAGAGTCGCTGCCAGCCCTCCTAGCTGCTTTATCTTTCTTCTGAACCATCACTACCTCCATCCCCTTCACAGATGGCTGTCACTGTCCCCACCTTATAGCCAAGGAAGGTGAGACTCAGAGAGCGTAAGTAAGTTACCTGCGGCCGCAGCACCTGTCAAGGAGGAGTGCTGGGCTTGAATGAGCTCTCCCAACTTTAAGACCTTGCTGTAAGCATCCCGTTTCCATGGCAACCTGCAGCCCATTTTACCTGCAGTTCCCGGACAGCACCACGCAGCCTGGGAGCAGGACCTTGGCTGGGCTGCACTGTTTCCAGGGAGTGGCTGTGTACCGTCATACTGAGGGAGGCCAGCCACATTGCAGCATTTGCAAATGTACACTAATTCCAGAGAGACCTCTAAGGCCAGCTTTCCACCTGAAGGTCCAGTGGACACAGTGAGGACAGGAAGAACAGCGATTTTCACACATGGAGAGTGGACCTTTAACATAATCAGACTTGAGTTAGAACCCTGATGCATATTTGGGGGCTGTGTGTTCTTTGGCAAGTCATCTGCCCTTTCTGAGCCTCACTTTATTTATAAACGAAGTGGTGATGAGAATCCCATGTAAGGACTAGGTGCCCTGGAGATCTGTGAAGTGCATGGCGGTGGGGGCCTGCCACACCATGTCCTTCTATCTCCTTGAAGGTGACCATCTGCCCTTCTGTTTCTGTAAGGACTCTACTACAGTTATGAACAGTTGCAAGTAGGTTGCACACAAAGTTTCCAAAAACTAGCTCAAAGTCATCAGCTGAAGGTTGTTAACAACAGCAGGAGGTACCTGACCTGCTCAAAATCCAGTATTGGAGCCCGCTACTTCTTCCCCATGTTGTTAGGTGATGATTGCCCACTGATCCACCTCTTATAAACTCACAGCACTCATGCTAAGGTGAGCTGAAGAAAGCCTGTGTCTCTGGATTCGGGTGGAGCAGGTTTAGCTTCTGCCTCTACCACTTTTGAGCGACTCTCTTTACCGCTCTGACCCTCAGTCTCCCTCTGTCATGGATCCTAATTCTAACTTGAGTAGAGATGCTATAAAGAGTGAAAATACTGGGTATTATGACTACAGAGTCTGACAAAGTGTTGGTGTGCCTTAAAGGAAGTTTGTTTATTTTATTATAATGTCACACAGTCACAAAACTGAGTGAGTGTGTTTCTTTCATTCTTATTGCCACTTTGGGTTCAGGCACTATTCTGGCAGGGCTCTCGCTTGTGCTCTGAACTCATGGAAGTCATTTGCTAATGGAAGTAAGAAGGTGGAGGCTTCTTTAGGAGCCTTAAGGAGGTGATTAGGATGACAGGAAGTCATTAGGGTGGAGAACCTATGATTCAGTCCTAGTGGCTTTATCAAAAGAGAAAAAGAGACCAGCCCCACCCCTCACCACGTGATGCCCTGTGCTGCCTCATAATCTGCAGCGATTACTGCAGAGGTACCTCCAGAACCCTTTTTTTTTTTTTTTATAAGTAAGCCTGCCTCAGGTACTCATTAGAATAATGAAAAATGAGCTAGTACACATGGAAGTCCACTTACAGGGGTGGGGCGGGAGGAGGGAGAGCTCAAGGGAACCTGCACTGGACGGACTTGAGCTCAAGTCCGGGCTCCGTGGCTCGGGAGCTGGGTAAAGCTGAGAGAGTTATCAGCCTCTCCAAGGTCAGCTTGCTTGTGCATTTTGTCTTCTGTAAGTTCCAGGGACAGAAATCAGCAATTAAAACAAGTTTGAAAATAAATAATTGTTATGAGAGATAAAATAGGCATGAAACCCTGCTGTGGGAATTTGGGGGTGGGAACAAACCTGGTGGGGGAAGGTTTGGGGACAGATTTATGCGTGTGGCTTCTAAATCTTTGTGTCCAGACTGGACTTGGCCTGTAGACCCCACACCTGCAGCTCACTGGACACATCCTCCAGGACACCTGACAGGTGCGTATGCCCAGCCTTAAACTCCACAGCTTCCTCAAACCCCACCCCGCTCTGATGTCCCCTCCTTGAAGGATGTCACCAAGTTAGACACCCACAAGTTCCTAAACAGCCCTCTGTTTCTCAGCACCCAATTGGATGACCAAATCTGCTCATTTGTGCCACAGAATCAACCTCCATGTCTGAGCCCCCTCCTCCCCTCTGCTTCTACCCTAGCCATGCATCAGGGTCCCACCCTCGAGGTACAGCAGCCTCTGTCTCTGCCTCCCACCCCTACTGGCCCTGGCCCATGCAGCCACTCCCCCTGAAAGACCCCCAGATGTCTCTGTCACCACCAGACCTCCAAGAATGGTCTCCAGTGCCTCCTAGCCATGTCTGGTGGAAACCATCTCTGCCAGGGGATGACAAGTGGTGGAGAGCCACAGTGGAGGCACAGTGGGGTGCCTGGAGATCCACCATAGCCAAGAGGTGGCCCCAGGAATCCACCTAACCTCCATGAACCCCAGCTTCTCGCCTGCTTCCTAGAATCAGCAGAGTAATGCCTGTACCATGCCTGGGACAGGGGCACACACTGTGCGCGTCAGCTGTTCTTACAGTCCTCTCACACCGAGTTCAACAGCAGTGGCACGGCCTTGGATGGACTGAAGTAGGTGCCATTCCTGAGAGTTCATGGATTTTCGTCCTCCAGGGGGCAGCCCCAGGGAAGGGAAGGGAAGGGAGTAAGGACCTCACTTCCGCCATGGCCAGGTGTGAGCCCATGCTACACTGGCTTCCCGTGTTGGGAGTAAGCCCTACAGGAGCCAGAGCTACAGCAGCCACAGCCACAGCGCAGTCACCTGAGTTCGCCTCAGACGCATTGCCTGAAGCTTCATCTCATCTGTTCCAATCTCATCAGGATGCAGAGAAGGTATCAAACCCACCTCGCTGTGAGGAGATGGGGCTGTGACATGACTTGTCCCTTACCACACGTGTGTGACATCCACCATTTCTCATCTGCCCAGCAGCGCCCTCCCCACCCCAATCTCACAGCACTACACCTTCGAGGGAGCAGAGGGGATTCTCCACGTCCCCCATAGACGAGCCTTCCCTGGTCCCCAGTGCCACAGGCACTGCTGATGGGGGCGTTTGCATGCTGGCTTGGGGCTCCCGTGGCTGTGCTGCTGGGCTTTCTCTCCTTGCACCCGCCATCTGTCACCTTCCCCTCCTCCTTTTTTCACATCAGTTCAGTGTCTACTGAGCCCTCTTCATATAGACCACTGGCTTATCACTGCACCTGTTTTCCTTCTCTCTTTGCTAGTGTTGATTATTTTTAACTTTTTGTTATCCTTTATTATCCCACACCCCTTTCATACACGCATAAAATGTATTTCACCCTCTCCTGTCGCCCCACCGCCATCCTGCTGGCTCCCCTTTGACAGTCACGAACTTTCTTTGCAGTCATGTAAAAGTTCTGTGTAAATTACAGGAATTTACTTTTCTAGGTGTGCATTCCACACAGGACAGAAAACATGTCAGTCTGGCTCATTTCACTTAATGTGATGCTCTCTGTGTCTATATAGGTAGATAGACAGAGAGATGGATAGATGGATAGACAACATAGATAGACAGATAGATGATAGATAGATAGATAGATAGATAGATAGATAGATAGATAGATAGATATGGATACAGATATAGATAGATAAAGATATATATATGAAACCACATTTTCTTCACCATTGTTCAGTTGATGGGCACCTAGGCTAATTCCACAGCTGGGCTATTCTAAATAGTGCATGCTGACTTACATTCCTTCAGAAATGTGCCCAGGAGTGCTATAGCAGGATCATATAGCAGTTCCATTTTTAGTTTTT